ATTGACCAGCACAATTACTATCCGAATGATAAGTCGAGTAAATTAATGACTTCAATCATTTTCCTTGACTAAGATAATTACAAAATCTGAATCTGAATGATAGGTAGAGGACAATAATGACTTTAGACATCTTAATTGACCAGCACAATTACTATCCGAATGATAAGTCGAGTAAATTAATGACTTCAATCATTTTCCTTGACTAAGATAATTACAAAATCTGAATCTGACTGTTAAGTAGAGTATAATAATGACCACCTTCCTTGACCAACACGATTATCTTACCTCAATCTAAGTGATACGTAGAGCACAATAATGACTTCAGTTACTTTCTTTGACCAGCACATTTAGTAATTTACAAGATCTCAATCTGAACGGTACGTGGAGCAGAGTCATGACCTTAGTCACCTTTCCTGACCGACACAATTACCAGGTCTCAATTTGAATAATGCGCAGATCACAATAATGATCAATCACCTTCACTGAATAATACAAGTAACATATGTTAACACTGACTAATACAAGTAACATATCTTAACACTGACTAATACAAGTAACATATCTTAATCTGAATGAGCATCTTTCCAATGAACTCGTACATAGCATTCTCCAAGATAATCCTACACCGACCTTCCTCGTATGTAAACTAGTTACCAATCATCATGCTTCTCGACGATTAGTCTGTAATAGAATAAGACATCTTAAAGCGTCGTCTAGAATCTATAACATGCTAAGTCTATGCTATGACGTAACAAGATGTGTTCCGACCTAATATCAGGTAGGAGAGGTTCTGATAAAGTGACCAGACAGCATATTAAGTATATTGATGACATTGTTGCCTATAGGACCTTCCTAAAACAGGAAAATAAATATGAAATTACATTTATTTATACTTGTAATTATTATTTGATTCATATAAGTTAACCAGAAGTTATTTTTAAGTTAAACAAGTTCATGGATAACTTATAATAAGTTGGCAAACAACGATTTATAAACATAATGAAGTGATTATTGTATTTTGGCACTTGTGTGTATAAAGTTAAAATCATAAATAATATTCAACGTTAAACTGGTACACAATTAAAAACATTTTATTTAGGCCTATCTATGGCCTTCAAAAAGTTGACGACCATAGTCACCCTCATGTAGAGTCGTCAACTTTTTGAAGGC